TAGATCTCTGGAGAGAAAGGGGGCAGGGATACACGTAGATGTGTGCCATACGCAAGAGACGGCGCGCATATTGCCGCGATAAATCATCAGCCGCGAACTTGGCGGGTTGGAGGAGAGAACGAGAGAGAGAGGAAAGGAACGAGCTGCGGGAGGAGAAAATAATATATATTATGTACGCTATATACACCCGCGATAACTGGACTCTCGACAAAGGTCACTTGAATCCTTCAGTCGCGCGTATCGTCAGATCATCGAAAAGCAGAGCCACCGATTTTGATGCCGGTAGGTGCCCGAGATTTTTTTTTCATGGCCTAAGAGCAAGATGTTCCCTCGCGCTCGTATAGGTGGAAAAATGAAACGTTTATTGCCTTTATGGGTGACTTTTTCCTACACGTACACGTTGGTAATCGAGGTAATGATTGTGTCTATACGAAGAGGGACGAGCTTGTGGTGCACAAGGGAGTTGGGCAAAAACAGAGGGAGACACTTGAATGGTATAACAATGAATACTCGTGCTCGAGCTGTCCTCGAGCTGATTATCCGTACATATATATTGAGCTAAGACCCATTACTACTATACTACACTCCATAATCTCCTCTCTGGCCACAGTCGCAAAGATCCTGTTTTTATCCGTGACTTTGAAGAAAATCCGTTAAATAATTTACGAGTGACGAAACGTCCATAAATGCGTAATTACGGGCTTTGCCCGAAAATACACCCCCATATAGGTAAGTACGACGCTTGCACTTGACGTGGGTGTCAAAGCAACCTCGTTTAAAACTCCCGGTGTTTTGGTTTTTTCTCGTATATTTATTTAACAAAAGCCGTACGGCTCCACGAAGCACCTGTCGTCGCGCATCAATCGAGCCCCTTGGCCGGTCTACCGTGCTTCCTCGTGTGAAAACGGTTCAGCCAGGCAGAGTAGACGAGCTCCTTCATCGACTCCTCGCTCCCCCGTCGGTCACCCTCCGCCGGCTCCATGCTCGCTCTCCCGAGAACGTCGCCCCTGCTGTTCCTCGCCTCGCTGTCCGATTTCCCGCGATCCTCGTTTCCAACCAGCGTCAGGTTGCTCCTGCACTGCGGCAGCCACTGCACCTCGGGCCGGTGCACCATCAGCGGGATGCCCGAGCGCCTGCTCGCCGAAATGGTCTTTTTGGGCGTGGTCTCCTCTGGAGTCGAGGGGTCGTGCTTCGGGGAGCTCTTGTCGAGCCTGGGGCGTCGAGTCGGTACCTTGAGCCCGTAGTCGATCAGAGTGTCCTGGTCGAGTCTCTCGATGGGCTTCAGCGGGTCCGGGAGCTTTCGCGTCCTGTATCTTGCCGTGGCATCCCGACCGGTTCCTTTACTCGACGCTTGCGCCCCCTTTTGCAGGACAGGGATGCTCGGCTTTCGATTCGTCACGTCTATCGCTCCAGGGCTGAATCTGACCACTTTCGCCCCGGGTCTTACGCCATCCGCGGGAACTCGAGTGACTGACCTGCCGCTCATTGCCGATCTTTGTCTCTGTTTTTCGATGGGTCGCACGGCGGCTTTCGAGACGCTCGTCGCTTTTTTCCGCCTCTTGGACTTTTGTCCCGGAGACGGGGTCACTTGCTGGTGATTGCTTGGCGATGCTTTTTCCTGACCGATCGCGGCCGATCGGCTTTTATCATTTGCCGATCTCTCCCGGCTCGGCTGCTGGCGGAGCGAATTTCCTCGCTGATCGGCGGGACTTGCAAGCGCCGGGTTCCCCCTTGGGTTTCTCGTGGTTTCACCTCCTCCTGCTTCTCTCACGTTGTCGGGAATCATCGAGTCGTTAGGCCGAGACGACGCGGCTCTTTTCGCTGCCAAGCTCTTGACGGCGTAAGCCCGTAATTTCCCCGCAAAGGTGTCGAAATACTCTGCCTTCGCTTCGTCCCTTGTGCCCTTTGGCGACGCGTTGGAACCCTTGTCCTGCCGATCATCGTTCGAGGTCTTGGGCGGCGAGACCTTCCGGTGCTTGGACCTCCACGACGCAGCCATGGAACCGAACGGCAGCCTCGAGAGCAGGCCCGGGGACTCTTTGCCCCTGGCCATGTCCCTCTCGAGAGCTTCGCTGAAATCGGCAATCATCTTTGCGTAGGTGCGGGGCTTTCGGGCCGAGCTGGAGAACGGGGCTGGCCATTGGCCGCTGTTGCTTATCCCCGTGGACTCGATTACTCTCGGGTCCCTCCCGTTTGGATCGAAGGGAAGCTCCAACGAGTTTCTGTTGCACTGCAGGAGCGCCAGCTTGGCTCGGCCGTGCAAGAATATCTGTCAAACGCGTCGTGTGTGTGTGTGTATACTTTGAAAACGAGGGTGGATTGATCGAGCTGTATGTACCTTGGCACTGTCGTTGTTGTTCCAACGAGCGTCACTGGAAAAAGGTGCCGAGCTTTGGCTGTTGGGTGGTGATTTTGGGCACGGAAAGTGACGGTGACATCCTTGGACACCCTCCTGGATGGACTGTCGCGCTGAAGCGGCTACCGGTTCTGCGAAGGTCGACACGTTTATTAATCATCATCGTTACCACGTGGGACGTGGTAGGTTATGATGTACTCAACTCGAAGAGACGCGCCGCGGAAGCGAGCCCATGATGTGTTTGATGGGGTTCATGATATGATTGCACGATAATTTTGATTGCCAATGGCTGTAACTCTGGTTAAATTTGGCTGAGAGCACGGGTAGTTCGAGTGTTGCGAAAATAATTTTGACCAGATCCGAGGGTTGGCTGAAGTTTGCAGCGAGCGATGGCGACATCGGAAAAATACACATGGAGCGCTCGCAAGAATGGAAGGAACGAGAAATTTGGATGGAGCAACAATGGTCCTTGCAGATGAGGAGAAGCGAAAAAAAAAAAAAAGAAAAATCCAAAGGCGCGACAAAAAGCTTTGCCCTGGGGGAAAAAAAATGCCAGCGTCATCTCCACTCGGACCACAGTGCGTCGATAGACATCTCCTCCGACTCTCCCTTGCCCTTGTTCTCGTATCCATCGGAAAACCAGCAGCTCGTATCGCAGCCTCGCATCTTCGCCAACGCTATTTTCTGCCGAGCTAGCGGCGTCGTTTCCAACATCGCCAGCCGAGGCTCTCGCTCCTTGCACCACGTCATGCTGTTTTTTTTTTTTTTTTTTTTTTTTTACTTTGCTGCCAAGCAAAAGCTATTATGCGGAGGTACAAGAGCAGCCCTTATCGGGGTGTCGGGGAATCATCTGAAAAACGATGCAGAGCCCGATACGAGAAGCAAAGTAAAAAATACTTCATCGTGGTGGTAAAAATTACGGACGCAAGAGAAGATAACATCCTCTTTACTTGCCGATGATTTTCTTCAGTCCGCAAAGTAAGCAATGTGTAAATATTAAAAAAAAAAAAAAAAAAATGTACCACGCAATACACCGATACGACCGTTATCGAGTGCACCGTTGCAAAATACTTTGTGAAACAAACAACCTCACAATCGCACATGACCCTTGTTGGTGATAGCGAAAAATTTCAGTTCTCGTACATGCAAGTGCCAATACTCGATTACACCAGCAGATAACATGTGTATACAACTCGAGCCACCCAGTGGGCCGATCCTCAGCACGACACCACCGAGCCTATTGTATTAAGCGTATTCTCGACGCACTGCCGAGACAGAGAAGGGGGGAAGAAAAAGGACGCTCTTCCCTTTGTCGTTACAGAGCCGTAAATCGGCCGGTGCTTTATTACCACTGCGCCACGGAATTCCCGATCGCGCTCAGGCGCCAACTAGTGTATATGGATCATGGTAAAAAAACTTGGGCTTTCCACGTCCTTGCTCTTTACAAGCAGTGAAATTGTTGAAATAATATTTATATACGAAATTTTTTATTAAAAGTACTTGTGATTTTTTTTATTCCTACGAAAAATTTCGAATGAGGTATGATTTGCAAGCTTGAACAAAGAATATGATGTTAAAATGCAGCCATTACCGTAACCTGTCTCCAATAAGAATTTCGATTTTCTATACCTTCATTAAGAGAAAATTTCGATTCTTTTAATTTTTTATATCGAGATGTCTTTAAGTCAAATACCTATACTTAACTGCATAGGAAAAAAAATTCTTAAACAATTTTCCGTAGTACATATTGTCTCTCGAATCGTATCTCTCTGTTTTGTTAATTTTAAACTTCTCGCACACATTCTTGCATAGTACAATCGCTTTTTCGACTTCAATGGTGTCGACACTGGCCTTATCTACCTTTGTTTGCATGGACTATGTTTATAAACCCGCAAAGCGGTTGAAAAATTGAAATACTCTTTTTTGCGGCAGTTTTTTTTTCGTGCACTTGAAAAAATAATGAAATGAAAAATAATGAGCGTCATTACCGTAACCGGCTGTATCTTATCGTCAAGGTGTATGTGCACATTTTAAGTGGTGAGGAATCGAATTAGATGGTAAGTACAAGTTATAAATGCGAGGAAAAAATTTTAAAATAATTATTTAGTGCATAAATCCATTTTTTTAGGCGATTTGTCATTACAGTAACTGTCATTACCGTAACCCAAAAAAATGAATTTTACTGTTAATTATTTAAACACATATATTTTTTCGCGTAGGTTACAGACGCTTTTAAAGATGTGGAATAGCCCCAGTTTTCAGAAAAAATAAGTTCCGTAAAATTAAAAAATCTCGAAGTTAATGAAGAAATAAAGGCAAAAGTTTCACAGAAAAAAATATATAATTAGCCAAAAATAGCGATGAAGTAAAAAAGTAGCGTAATAAACTTGAAGAAAAACATTAAAGTTATCTTAATTCTGAAAAAGTGTGTTATTACCGTAATCACCAAAAACCTGAAATTCATACGTATTCAGAGACGCTCACGTATGTAGGAGGTGCCATTACTTTTTAGTCATAGTTTTTACCTTACAAATCATGATAGAGCGAAAAAAAAGTGATGATAACACTCATTTTGTCTGGAATCAAAATAACTCTTTAATCACCCAAGTTTTTTTACAATGACCCATATACATCTACAAACGCATACACAACTATGTATACTATGTACGGTGCGCAGCGTCGCCCCGGCTTTTTTCAAGTGATGCAGTATACCGCGTGTATACCCAAATTAAAAGACAACGAGCTGCGCCGACAGATAATCCAATCGCGAGCCCCACTCGTGCGTATTTAAATCGAAGCCAGTGCACCGAGGCCAACACAGTCCGTACACTGCCGAACGACTACCATCACCGATCTGCACGATGTAAGTTTCTTGGTTGTGACACTCATCGATATCTGCCGTGTATACATCGCTCTATTTTGTACAAGGTTTTCACTGTTGGTACCGGTCCTGCTGTCAATCGTCGGCTGCGCGTCAACGGAGCCCAAGGCCCCGATAGTGCACACGCCCCTCGGCGTTGTCAGGGGTACCTACAAGCTGTCCGAGAACGGGAGGTGGTACGCGGCTTACGAGGGCGTGCCATACGCCGAGCCACCCGAAGGCGATCTCCGGTTCAGGGTAATCAATTGCCATGGGTCTAGCTTTAACATTATGATCCAGTGAATGGAAAAAAAAAAAAAAAAAAAAACGTGCCAAACGTAAATAGGATCCGGTGCCGGTGAAGCCATGGCCGGGGACGCTCATGGCAACGGAGAAGCGCTCGGTGTGCGCCCAGTACGTCGACGTGCCCCCCGGGAAGGACGGCCAGCCAGTGGCGGAGGGCCAGATCCAGGGGGAGGACGACTGCCTCCACTTGAACATCTACGCGCCCGTTTTGCCCCGAAAAAAGAACATGCCCGTCATCTTCTTCATCCACGGTGGGGCCTTCCAGTACGCCAGCGCCAACTACTTCGGGGACAAGTACCTCGCCGATCGCGACGTTGTGTTTGCCGCCGTGAACTATCGCCTGGGCATCATGGGTACACAAAAATGAAAGAAAATAAAAAGTATACACTAGTGAGTGTCCACGTAAATATGTACGGGTTTCGGTGAAATCCAGGCTTCCTGAGCACGGAGGACGCGTCGCTGCCCGGGAACTACGGGTTGAAGGACCAGGCGTTGGCACTTAGGTGGATCTCGCGGTACATCGGGTACTTTGGCGGTGACCCGAGCCGGGTGATCGTCGTGGGTTTCAGCGCGGGCTCGTCGAGCGTGCAGTACCACTACCTGATGCCCCAAAGCCGGGGGCTGTTCCATGGCTCCATAGGCATGAGTGGCACCTCCGTGAACCCTTGGGGCTTCTCCGCGAGGGGCTCGGCGGAAAAGGCCAAGAAACTCGGTGCCATTTTCGACTGTCCCACCCACAACTCGGCTTGGATGGTCGAGTGCCTGAGACGGGTGCCCGCGCACGAGCTCGTCGCCGCCGAGAAGCACTTCCAAGTACAACACATACGTTCCATCACTTTACCTGCATAAGTACATACACAACATGTAAGCGCATCGTCTGACGCACCCGTAGCCCTGGCAGTACAACCCCATGGCCCCGTTTGCCCCGGTGGTCGACGGCGTCTACGTCACCAAGTCGCCCAAGGAAGCCTTCGAGGCTCGGGAGTTGTACGACGTGCCCGCCATCTACGGCTTCACGAGCGACGAGGGCTGTTATCCGGCTGCAGGTATCGCGCGAGCGTATACACCCACCTATATGTATTAGGTACATAATAATATTATGTGCTCGTACGCATAATCGTCACGTGTACGTGTAGCTTACGCCCCGCACGGCAATCTGTTGCGCGAGTTGAACGACAACTGGACGAAGATAGCGCCCCACCTGATGCAGTACAACTACACCTTGCCCCAAAAGATGCACGAGGTGGTGGCCAAGGACGCAAGGAGGGAGTACTTTGGGGGTGCCAGTATAAACAAAAAAAGCGCGTTGAAGTTGATTGAGATGCTGTCGGACCAGCAGTTCCTCGTGGGCATCGAGGCAGGGGTGAGGCTGCAAGCCCAGGCATCCCGTAGTCCGGTGTACCTGTACGAGTACGCGTTCCGGGGCTCCCAGAGCTACAGCGACCACCTGAGTCGCACTACCAACGATTACGGTTGTATTTTCCGTCCTTTGCTTACGAGCTCGTACCTTTTTTTTTCTACAACTAAGCTGGGGGATGGGATTTCTCGGTCATAGGTGTTTGTCACGCGGATGACATGAATCTCATAGTCGAGAATCCAAACGTCGATCCAACCAAGACGAAGGCGGAGTGGAAAATGTCCAACTTTTTGATGGACCTCGTGGAGTACGTCGCGTACCACGGGTTCGTACACACCTAATAATGCATACTTTTTTCCTTTTTCCTAACGAACCCCATGTTGCAGAGTACCGCATGCTGGTCTGAATTGGAAGCCAGTCGACGCCACCAACCCCGAGCTCAAGTACTTGCGCATCTACAAGCCGGGACGGTACAAGATGACAGGCAGCACCAACTTGGGGAACAAGAGATTCTGGAAGAAGTATTTTTTCACCGCGTGAATTGTAACTGCACACACGTTGCCTTTGATTGTACGAAATACATATTATCACCTTGCAAAATCTCTCCTCTTTGTATATACATATAGGTGCTTGCAGTACGCACGCGTGTATAGGCACACCAGGGGAGATCACAACGAGATAGAACATGGAAAATGATAAATATATCACACGAGCTACCCGTATGATTATGGTTGCACAATAAATTTTATTCATACTCCCTGGACTGGAAAGAAAAAAAAAAAAAAAAAGAAGAGGAAAGAAACGAAATTTCTAATGGCTCGTTGTACCAGCACGGCGCACAAAGGTACAGGCTTTTCGAAGCCACCATACGTGTCATTACGACGATAATGGTTTTTAATTACAGTCGGAAAATATTTTCGCGCACCGAGAGCTGATTTATATTATATTATATTATACACGCGTTATCTGGCATCGCACGCGAGCGTGTAAGGTGAGCTCCGAAAATGCACGGAGAGAGAAAGCGCGCTCGTATACATGTGTACATTCACAATGGCGCTCGCGAGAGCCGAATCACGGACACTCGATCGGGTTTTTATACATATGTACTCCTTCGCGGATCTGGATGCTCGAACAAATAAAAAAAAAAAAGTGTACAGAAGGGGGATGGGAAGAAGAGGCGCCGAGAGTATATGCCGCGCTGAAATCATCCGCGGCGCATCAGCAGCAGGAGCGCGAGAAAAGGAGCAAGAGGAGCCCGCCGGTCACGATTCGGAATCGCACGAGGTCGACCTCATCCTGGATAACTCGCCGTCCCTTTGCTCTCCCTCGCGTGTGTATCTATATACATACATGTATTATATTTACGTGCGCACAGGTCGTGATGCCTCTCTCTCTCTCTCTGCCCTGAAATTCCGAAGGGGCATCTTTCTTTTTTCTTGCTGCCCAACGCCGCGGCTTTTTAACCCCCTCAAGGATACTGCTGCATCGCGCGAACGTGCCCTCTTAAATCTCCCCTTCCCCAACTCGCGGTACCACGGGCATCGCTTACTCCACATTCATCCTTTCCATCTCTCGCTCCTCTTTCGCTTTTTTCCCTCCCCCTCGCTGTTTTTTTTTTTTTTTTCGCGCTATCTTGATTCGGGGTACACGAAAACACGTCCAGGTATAGGTATGGACGTGCCGCGTTGTTTCTTTCCGATGGCCTCCTCGTCCCGATGGGATTTAACGCAGTTTAGCAGCGTGCAAATGCACTAGAGCTGGATGGGCCGATTGATTATCCACCTCAGCCTTTCGAGCTCATATTTTTGTTCGTATATGCCACGGTGAACCACGAGGGGAAAGAAAATCATGGTTCCTTTTGTGTATACATGTATATCAACTTATTGGCTGAGGAGATCGGGACTCGCTCTACATCGTATACGAGTGTACATTATCGCGGGATCACGTACGTGTCCAATCAGCGGTGGACACGTGTTCAATGGGACCTTTAACATCATGGTGGGAAAGTATGTATCCCCTCTAATAGGCTCGTGTCACTATACACCCCTGCAACTCCAAGTTGGTCGAAATCGTCGATTTCGCTCGAACGTGTGCATGCACATGTTTTTTTTTCCCCTTCCCTCAGTGGTTGTACCATCCGCGTCAAAAATAAAGAGAGGGAAACATTGTTCTTGAAGCTTATCACGCTTGTCGGCTCTGTTACCATACTCGACTAGTTCAAAAAACTACCGAGTATAGTACGATCCTCCTTGTCTTCTTGAATGGCAGCTCGTGCTCGCTATACTCTATACTGTTACATCGAGAGATTGGGAACTACGAGATATTAGAGACGCTCCCGCGAGCTGGTAGCTTTCGTAAATCAATCCCTGGTTTTTTTTTTTTTTTTTTTTTTTTTTGGGTCTTTTAACTCTAATTGTCAGACAATGTTAGATTTAATTTAATTAACTTTGGAAACATACCAGCAGGTTAAAAAGAGTTGTATCCGAAAAAAAAAGGCTGGACAAAACGGTTGAAAAGTTTTGCGAGAGAAAAAACCATCTCGAGTCGTTTTTCTCATTTTCCAAGTGTGGATACGCGCATGTGCGGATACTCCCCCGAGTCTCGGCCCAATATATATACTCTTGAAAGGGACCGACGCTGCACAAAACCCACGGAGCGACGTGTATTTACGCGAGTAAAACCGAGAATGTAGAAGGGAGATCGGCTCGAAGATCGGTAAGGGTAAGAAGCAAAGGGAATCGGAAAGAAGGAACGGGCGCCCGGGAAATAAGGGAGATAAACATAAGAGTTGGTAAAAGAGAGGCGAGGCGTCCTCCGCGGATCCTTAATCCTCCGGTCCTTCCCCCTCAGCGCACCTTCCTCCGGCCCGACGCTCTTATCTCGAGCGCGCGGTCTCTCGGCGCTGGAGCACCCTCCTCCCCCTTTCCCCTTGACGTATAGGTAATACACTCTCCCGGATATAATGCACGTACACCCGTGGGGAATACGCCGTGGCTCTTTTTGTGCACTGCGGGCGTGCACACGCCAACGAAGAACTTCCTCTATCCCATGCCGTGCACCAGATAACGATCACCCGGTCACTGATCGAAATCGACCCCCCCCCCCCCATATAGCTCTTTTATTTTCCGTTTTCTTTGTATCCACCCTCACGTGCGCGGTACACACACACGCGCGTGTATACCATACACATTGGGTAATTAAAGGTCGCGGGTGCTTGCAAAAAATCGGCAAAAGAGATCGCATAGCGGGGGGTGGCGAAAAATCGTGTACCGCGTGACTAAAGTCGGTATACATGCACCCACGTCGTTTGTTCTCGACCCACACGTGACTAATTAAACCCCGTGAATCTGCATGGATAGCGTATGCAAGGGTTTACAACTAATAAATGTTGTCATCTAAACAGAGAGAAATGTTGTCAATACCTTTAGTCGCAAAAAAAAAAAAAAAAAGTTCAAAGCCCTTTGACGAGTGTATACACGCGCATGCACCGATCTCGTAAAGTAAGCTCCACGTACAGTTGCAGCGCGATAGCAGCGATGCTCTGGCGCCTGTCGACCTACACTACCAAGAGAGAAGATCGACCGGAAAGAGCTAGGGAATGCACTAGTGCAATGTCAGACGTGTATACGTATATATATATTATATATATAGGTGGTACTGCGCTTTCGACGAGGGGGAAAACAAAAATCTCCAACTCCTCGATCTATCAGCCTCTCGTATATCCTACACGTGTCCAGAGTCGCGACTAGTGTGTATACGCACGCAACGCTCGTTTTTTTTTTTTTTTAAGCCATATCAGAGCAACTGTAGGTACATGTATATATATATATATACATCCATGTGCATCGCGCATTTATCAAACGCCACGTCGTCCCTCTTCTCTTTGCTCTCGGACGTGTTCTCCCCGAGCTTCTTTCTCCCATTCGCGTGCACATATTCGCTCTCTGCCCCAGGGATAGCCATGTACACGTATATATTATGTGTGTTCCTCGGCGGCGCGCTTTATTTCTCCCGGCTCCTTTTTCCCTCCGTTCGCTCTCCCGCGAGTGGTCAGAGAGGGACTTTTTATCGCTCGGAGGATCGGAGGGGGGCCTTTTTTTTCTTCCGAGGCGCGCACGATGATGATTCGGCCCCTCGGAGTCTCGTTTTCGCGTGGGTGACTCTTTGGAGCCTCGCGGGGAAAACGCGTAGGTGCACCCGCACGCACAGATTAGCTGTCAATCATCGTTGCGAGGAAATAAATGCGCATCACTCGAGGCGAAAAAAAAAAAATAAAGTCAAAATTTACCGTTCCTGAGAGAAAACTCCCTGTCTCTCTTTTTTTCCGTATACCCTACTAAGCTGTGTATGGTCGGTGCAGCGCGAAGGAACAAACAGCAGCGAAACAAAGGAGAGGAGGATCCTCGGATGCGAGAGGAGAAAGAGCCAACACCTGCTGCATTGTCTTCCCTTTTCACTTCTCCCTCCCTCTCTCTCTCTCTCTCTGTCCCAAGCTCTTTCTCTTCTTCTGCCAGTCGTCGTCTTCGCAGTGCAACAGACCTTGGGGACGCGAAAAAGGGCGCCAGAACACTCGTACGTATATGTGTATATACACGCGTTTGGATGAACGTGACCTGCTGTTTGTACGCTATTTACGTCGGCGATCGCATGATACGTATATAATATACGGTACAGTTGTCAAGTAGCTCGTCGAGGACTTTGCTCGTTTATACGTTTTGTCCCCCCACCTTTTTCTTCCACTTCATCTCTGTATGTGGACATTTTTTTGTACATCCTTACTAAGTACAAATATATTTCTGATGCCCGGAATTGCACTTTTGCTGCAGTACTTCTTTCGATTTTGATACTCGCGGGAACTCCCACGAATACTTACTTACGATTGAATGAATGAATAAATGAATGAACGAATGATTTAAGGGTGGCGAGCCGCGCCTCCACACACCTATGTCCAATGAGGGCTTTTCACGGGTAATCACAAGAGCATGTCTCACGTGGTTTCATTGCGTTGCGTGAGAGCTTTTTCGAAAATACTACTTACATGTATGTGAATGTGAGTGGGTGCCCACACCTACGCACGCATTGACGAAACTTGATAGCTACGCTTGCAAAATTGAAATTGTGATGAAAAAAAAAAAAAAAAATTTGACTTTTTTTCCTTGTTTGCATTAGTCGTAGCTCAGTGGCACATTTGCCACGAAAAAAAAGAAAAAAAAAAAAAAAAACTAACATTTTGCCATTGTTGCATTGTTACAGATCCCAACGAAGTCCTGAGACAACTCGCACCCAAGAGTGTCAGCAGCAGCGACGATGGCACCCGGTCCGCGGGAGCTCGTCAGCGACCCCACGTGGAGGCACCTGTCCTCGGAATCGTGAGTACACCGGGGAAGCAACAACAGAGAGGACCCGGTGGTTATGAGCTCGCCTCATCATGTTCGGCGCACGAGCCCTGCTGTCGACACCGAGAACTCCTGAACCGCACTTTGGTACTCTGGTGCTGCTGATCGCCCTGGTCTTCAATGCCTGCCACGATGTCGGGGCCGACCTCAACTCCGAGTTTGTCAAGGGCAAAAGTGAGTTTTTTGGTGGTTTTGCAAGAACCTCGTTGGTGTTCGTCGCTTTCTGCGCACGTATCCCAGGATCGATAGAACGTGGAAAGCGGGGAACATCCTAAGGGCCATTTCCTTCATTCATTTAGTTTTTTAAGATCAA